CCCCCTTGCCATAGCCGTTGTAGCGCCGCTTTCGCCATGCAGTCGCCCACCTCGACTACCGCACGCATGGTTGGGCCACCACCGGCTATGCTCGGCCAAGCTGCCACCGCTACCGCCTTCCCCTGCCCATGCTGCCCCTCTCACGCTCCTTCCATGCGTCCTCTCCCGTAGCCACGCCCCACAGCGCCGCTGCCGCCTGCCGCCATAGCCGCTGGCCACCGACGTCCACGGCTGGACCACTTTGGGCCAGCTCCAGCGAGGCCATAGACAGCCCTAGGTCTTTGTGGGACCCGCACACCCCTCCGCCCTATTCATTGCCACCGCCATGCCCTCCATGGTCGGAAATCAGCCCTGCCGCGGCCCTCCTCTGCTCGGTGAAGACGAGGAAGAAGAAGAGAAGGACCTCGTGCATAAATAGAAGCTTTTCTAGGGTTCCCAATGTAAATCTCGTGACACATGAATAGTACTACTAGACTGCGGGTTGATTCAAGAAAAGATCAGGGGCCTCGGTGCAAAGTGTTTGTCTTTTATGGTTTTTCCTTTTCTTTTATGTTTTTTTTGGCTGAAACTTTGAAAATTCATAGTAAATTGTAGAAAAATCATAAAAATATCAAAATAGTTTTGTTATACTCCACACAACTAGATCTATGTATTAGATACATAATATGATATATTTTAGTACAAAAGTTTTGCTATAGATATTTGCCTATACTTTTTAATGCTAAATTCATATATGCTGTTATATGAATCCAACTGCTGCAAAATTTTTATGGTAGGTTACTTGTTGCATGCTTATGATGTGGTAAAAATTTCATGTATAATGGATGATTATTTACTAATTTATTGATTTATCATGCGTCACATGCTTTTATTGCCTTTAAATCTTAATTAACTGCTAGTAAATAATTTGCTTATCCATAAATTATAAAATTTATGTATAGTTAAGATGTATCACCCATAAATTTTTTATGTCCAAAAGAGATGTTTGGTGCGCCACCTTTTTATTCCTTGGTTATAATTATTTAAGCTTTTATATATATTAGGTGTTTAGATTAGGGTTAATATACGTTTGTCTATACTACTTGTTTTACATGATGTATAGGCAAAGTGGGTTTAGTAAGTAGAAGTGTGTTTGGCATGTTATGATAAGCTTTCACTTGTATGTTTAAAATGCAAATGGTTGTTTTGCTCGCTCGTGTGATAATATCATAATAGTACTCGCAAGTAAGTCGCTAGGAGAGGATGAGAGTTGAACCTCTAACGTTTAGTTACCCTTCACTATGATGACGTGTTGCTTGTCTTGTAGTGTTTGTCAATGTCTTGTTATGCTTGTTTGACTGAAGCATGCATTGCATCTATGCATATCATTTAGGTGTGTTGGTGGTTGATGGATTTATTGATGGCCTATGAAGTTGAACTAGAAGCCGGTGTAATGTGACCATGTCCAGATGATGGAGGTTGGATCACGTCCCGAAGATGGAGAAAACTAACTTAGTATTAATAAGTTACCCAGGCAAGCCCTAGCGCATAACCCCTATTTTTCAAGCACTTATTACTATGTGTGTGCATTAAGTTTTAGGAGTTATTTGAAACCCACCCGCAAAAATATACTATCCTATGAGTCCTACTAGTATGATTGGATCGTGCAGTATGCCATGCTATAGGACTTACGGTAGAAGTCGAGTGATGGGTTGTCACTCGCGAGAAAATAGGTTCTGGTTATACTGTTACTGCTATCACATGGTTTGGATATGGATAATAATTGGAGACCAGGCGGGAAGAGGAAAAATGGATTTTTTGAATGGTTGGTGGGTGCCGCAGGGCCAGGCTTTGGGTACCCGTTTTCTTGCTGTGTCGATTAAGGACCGTTCGTTGGTGGCCATTTGAAAAGTTTGAAAGTACCGAATACATAACAGGGGCCTGAGTTGCAGTTGACCGTGAAGCTTAGTACTTTCTTATGACCAAGGTGCACAAAATGTTCACCGGAGTATTTCTCTGGCCATTCTAGCGGCTATTTTTGGGAGGGGAATGTCCATGGACTAAACTTATGAGGGGGAACCCATCGCCGGTTCACGGGACGGGCCTCATAGGGTGGGTTCCCTGGGGTCGTCAGGTCATTTCAGGCCTTGGTCATATGGTTGGAATGGTTGCCTTGTACATGCTCTGTCGAGAGAAGTATGGACGCGTGTTTGGGATTGCCCAGCTGGATGTACATCGATTGCAATCGCCACCCTCCTCAGATATGGATACCACTTGTCATTTCACTACCATTGTAGTTAATACAACTAGAACATGGAGATGATGAGGTTTCTGCCGGATAATGAAAAATATTCTGATTGCTTACCATATGCTTGAAAGTAGTTCAGATGCTTACCTAGAATGGTTAAGTAATGAACTTGATGTGACTGCTAAAACTTTGAATATAATGATACACTATTAGTAATGCTTCTCTGTAAAAACAACTAAATAGCTAGCCAAATAGCCCCTGCATATCCTTGGAAGTCGGGAGACTACTCCCACCTAGTTGGGTAAGTCTTGCGGAGTACATTATGTACTCATGTTTCTATTCCCTCTATTATAGGTAACAGGTGGATGCTGGAGCCAACTGTGGTTGTGTGTGGATACCTCCTGGTGGGCTCAGCGAGGCTTCCTTTGTCGTCGCGATTGTAGAAGTTTTATTCTTACATCTCTACTTCTGCTTCAATATTCAAAATTGTTTAATTTCCACTGTTTTTGTATAAAATAATCCTTCTTCGGCTATTTATATGAAATCTATTTTACCTATGATTTTATGTAATCTTGTGGTGTATGAAATGGTTAATAAATGATGTAAACTTTATTCACTTATTTATGATCCTGATGAAAACGTGGATTTTTGAGTTCTCCCATGGGGTGTACTCGATAGACTACCAGGTTTAACTTGATCTCTGGTGTACTTAGTGTGAAATGGCTGACAAGTATACTTGGGATTAGGTTAAATTGGGCAGTTCTAAGTGTCTAGTTGTGGAGTCCCTAACGCCGTGGCATTCTGCGGTGTGATCGGACTCGGCGCTGGAGTCTGGTCGGTTGGACCAGACCCAGTCCGAAGCATAGGGAGGATTTTGGGCAACGGCCCTTTTCTCCCTTGGGCTATAGATAGAAGTGGTGGCCGGCCTTGGGCTGGTTGCTGAGCACTCTAATGCCTTGGTGGCTTGTGTAGGTATGCTTGGATGCCCTCTAACTCACGTGTGCTTGCAAGAGCTTGATTTGATTGCGAGGGAGTGATTCTATTGCGTTGCTTTGAGAGATTACATCGAGTGGCACTAGATGTTTGAGTTGTAAGCCGATGGTGCTTGTTACTCTTGGAGGTTGCAACCTCCTAGACAACATGGTGGCGAGTTCTCCGTTGTGAAGCACGCAAGAAGATTCTGTAGTGCTTTAGAAAAGGATTTGTGAGGGGTATTGTGCTCACCCTATGGGAGCCGCGAAGAGCAACACTAGTAGAGCATGTCATTGAGCTAGCCTCACTTTTGGGGTAGGTTCTTGCGGTGCCTAACGTGTGGGCTTGGTGGGTGATGTCAATTAGCCGCCAAACCACCAAGTGAGCGGTCGACACAACGGGGACTAGCATGTTGACAAACACGTGAACCTTGGAAGAAAAAGCATCATGTCAACCTTATTCTTCCCGTTGGTTTGCATTCCTCATACACAAGCTTGTATTTACTTTCATATATTGTGCTTGAGTAGTTACTCTTGTAATTAGTTAGCTTGTGTAGCTTGCTAGTTATCTTCTTGCTTGCGTAGCATAGAAGTAGCTCCCTTGTATGACTAGTTTACTTTTATGGTAAATTAGTTTCCTTGCTTAGGTTGTGTAGCTAAGTATTTGAGCTCTCTAATTTGGCTTGTGTAGCCTTTTTATTGGGCATTGCTAGTGAGCTTAGGAGCTTTATGATTTTGCTTACTAATTTGTGTACGAGCTCCCCCGGTTGCCAAAGTACTAGTTGCATATGTTTGTGTGACGTTACTCCTAGAATTGTTTAGGCGCGCTCTAGCTAGCCCGGTACCTTTGTTGCCTAATTAGGATCATTTAAAGGTGTTTGAGAACTTAGGTAGAGGGGTGTAGTCTCGGCTAGACCGATAGTTATAATTTCGCATTTGTTTCAGTTAGTCGATGCGATTATTTTTAGAAATGACTATTCATCCCCCTCTAGTCCGCCATCATGACCTAACAGTGGGGCTGGGAAATCTTGGCCAAAAAAAGAGTGGGTTTGGAAAAAAGCTGCAGAGTGCTGAGTGATGAGGTCCATAGATGCATACTGTCTATGTTGGGATCTACTCCCTTTGTCGCAAAAATAATGACGTTATGGGATAAGTGCTGGTCAAACTTTTTAAACTTAGTCAGCTTTATTGAAAATATTAACAAAATTTATACCACTAAATAAATTTATTATAAAAATATATTCAGCGATTCATCTAATGATACTGATTATGCATTATAAATGTTAATATTCTTTTATTTATAATTGGTCAAAACTAAAAATGTTTGATTTGTCGGAAAGTGAGAATGACATGTTTTGTGGGACGAAGTGAGTATGTGGTGTACGAGGCCAATATTTACTGCTGCCCGCGTTGTAGACGCGTCGTCAACAATATAATCGATGATAACAGGACTGTAAAGAATTCACGGTGTCGAGCTGATAATTAATTACGCAAATAGCCATCGAACTGTTTATTTGGCAATAATAGAAACGAATGAATGTTGCATTGAAAAGAAAGGATCATGTACACGGTATGGTAATTACAACTTAAGGTTTCCAAGAGAAATGTCTGATCCCCTGATACGTGATACACAGGGCAAACTATATGAAGCTAAGGGGCAGAAATGGAAAAAATATATATCTCTGGTGAGTGCAGAGGCACGGTCACACACGTCTCCGTTTTGGTTGGTGTCCATGGCCTCCATGCATCGTTTGAATGAATCAAAAGAAGAATGGTCAGGGGTGCAGTGCAGGCGCGCTTGATCAGCAGCAGTGCGTGCCCGAGTTGGACCCCGACGATTTAGCGCCAAGCAACAACTGCGTGAACATCCCGACGGCGCTCTCCAGCCATCTGCCGGTGCCGGTGCCGGCGTCCCCCTCCAGGGGCCTCGCCGCAGCGGCGAGGACGCTCATAACTTGCACCGAGAAGACGAGTAGCAACACCACCTTGGCCATCTTCACCGTCGTCGCCATTGTTGTTGTTGCTGCTGATCAGTGATGGATGGGTGGTCTGAACTCTGAACTGTGAAGCAAGTCGAAGGAAGCACGTACTAAGGCGGGCTATGGAGTCAGTCAGAGACGAGCGTCAGGCAGCAGGGCGAGCTTGCTTGATAGTTGGGTTGGGAGCTCAATCCCAAGTTTCTCTCCTTGTGCTTACTGGAACGATGCCTACGTTTGGGAGAGAGCCTGGGCGTGGAGCTCGTTTATATAGCGGCGACGCCGTCGAGTTCAGACATGCGTACGGCTTCCAACTCGTTGCTATATACGCCGATCGGTCAGTACAGTACGCGCGCGCGGTCGCATGCCCGGTTTGAAGTCTCGCACGTGTTGTTGCTTGCAGGGCCAGTATTAGCCGGCTGGTTCAAACGCAAGGACGGAGAAGGAGAACCCGTGCGCGACACGTTCAATGGCGGGAGCCCGCTTGCCCCCGGTCTCTCCTACGCGGCCGGGGTTCCGGTCTGAACTGCGAGTCGCCGCCTGCTGGCCCGATGGGCGCCTGCCGAGTCCTTGAAGCGTTCGCGCTTTGTTCGACGACCGGAGCAAAAGCCTAGTCCGGCCCGGAACGTGCATCGCCGCGACGGAAAGCGTGCTTTTGAATCTTTGAATCTTTGTTTAAGATTTCTTTTCAGCTGGTCAAACAAGAAGAATTTGAACATGTATGTAGTCCGTACAATGTTTGGTTGCGCGCTTGTTCAACGAGAATGTGAAACGGGTTGGGCATGGACATACTCTGTGTGTGCGTGTCGTCCAAGGTTGATGACGCACGAATGCGGGGACAAAACCACTGCCGCGCTACTATTGGACTATTGGAGTACGTACTACAGTACTATAAGTACTTGGTCAAGACTTGTTGCTCTTGGATTGGATGGATGAAATTTCGCCCTTTTTTAGTTCGCGGTTAGGAATCAGTACTTGGCACTGTAGCATTTTCGTTTGTATTTGATAATTATTGTCCAATCATGGCCTAACTAGGCTCAAAAGATTCGTCTCATAATTTACAATCAAACTGTGTAATTAGTTATTTTTTTATCTATATTTAATACTCTATGCATGTGTCTAAAGATTTAATGTGATGGAAAGAGAGTGAAAAAACTTGGAATCTAAACAAGGCCTTCATTGTTTGACCCACCGCCCCCACAATTGTCATTCTAATTCAGACAAACACTCCCCTCCCCCCTGCATCTCAAATTCTCAATTTCGGACCGGACCAGACTTTTTCATATTCTATCAACTTGAATCCTTAGCAGGAGTGGTAGTTGCCATGAAGCATCATCATGCATTTGCTTGCGCATGAGGAAGATTTGACTTGGGATCAGAGGCCGCAGGGAGCGAGTCATGATGATCGTGGCAGTCGGTTTTGAGTCGGAAGATCAAAGGTGCTGACCGGTCCGACCATTCATATATAGGACTATAGGAGCAGAGCAGCTGCACAAATAAGTAGTACTGGTAGCACTAGTTTAGCTGCCCTGACGATGCAGAGGTCAAGAGGTTAGAACCTGTCCGGCGAAAAGTACGAAGGCGAGACTCGGAAAACAGCGACCGTTTCCTACACGGCAGCGAGGGGCTACACGTATGCGCATATGCACCAGTCAAGGGCCCCAAGTGCGACGAGGCTCACGCCCCCTGCACCAAACCCTCACCTATATAAGCACAGCCCCGCGGCATGCAACCAATGCATCCAACAACACATCCAAGGCCAAGCTCCGACAAGAAGAACCTGAAGGAACAACGATCGAGGCATCCAGCTTCTCTGGAGCAGTAACCCTAGGCATCTCACTCACCCTTGGTCTCTCTTCTCCGGCTTGCCGCTTGGATCACGTCATCCCTGTCTGCACGGTCGACGACGTACGTTCATGGCGCCCTTGGGGATGGCGAAGGTGCTGCTGCTGCTCGTCTTCTTGATCCAAATCATCAACGTCCTCACCGTCTCCGCGAGGCCGTTCAAGGGAGAGGGCGCGATCGAGATGGTGGTGGACATGTTCGGCGACAAGAAGCAGTCGGGATCCAACCCTCCCTCGCATTGCTGCAATTAGTAATAGTAGCAGCTAGCCGGTTGCATGAACGACGATGGCCATAATAGGCTTTTTTTCTGCAACTGTGAAGCTAACCACTGGTTAGGTTCGCAGATCAGGGCGTATGTAGAGTAGTTTTGCCTCTTCATCAGTTCATCACGGATGGAACGGAGGGGATTATTTTTTTTTTTTCAAGGTCTGGAGCTACGCGCCTAGGCCAAGAAAAGAAAGATGTATAATTGTGGTGCAGGGGCATGCAAGGCGCCCTGTGATTGGAATTGGATTCATTCTTTTTTTTCCTTGTTTGATTTGAAACAACGAGTCATATATATAACATATACTACCATTCTGTCATCTCATGTCTCATGACCATGTCGAATAATCATTTCCTGTAAATAAAGTTTCTTAACGAAACCTCATTCTTGTGCCCAGCTTGTGTTGGAAATTTGGAATATTCCGGTGCAATTCTCGCCGTTCTTAGAAACAGTTTATATTGTGTTATTAGAAACAGAGAACTCCGTACTCTGTACATAAGTATATTTTATAGCTCTGGTCACAGAAACAGAGTACATTCTCAGTGCTTTCACAAAACGGAGTACGTATTAACTTGTATCAATCTTACTAGACCAGAAGCAGAGCACATTTTTCTTTGGATTCATTGGCATTCTGTTGTTCGCACAACACAATCCAAAACAGTTGTACGCGATAATAGTTAAAGAGCAAAATGACAATTGAAATCTTTACAGGGAACAAAATCTGGACCCACAAAGTCTGACCCCGCTGGTTGGTGGTGGCTCTGCCAGACCCAAATCTGCTGACCAGTTGGAGCAGGATGGAGCCGTCGCGCCTGAAAATTTAGCTAGTGGTAGGTGTAAGCTGTAAAGGGGCCAGCCCTGAAACTGAAACGCCGATGGGTCGGTCGGTCGGTCCTGCAGGCGGCAGCGTCGGTGTTTGGTGAACCGACGTGTGCCGCGCTGTTGTTGTATTGGCGGTAGGTCCTTCACACTAGTTCGTTGCTTGGAAACTGGGACTGCGGACGGGGCTAGACCGGCAAAAAGCCGAGCCATTTGATCGATCGATCCAGCCTGCCGGTACGCGACTTTGAACGGGAGAGAATGTCAAATTACGTACTATATGTAAACATTGACTGCAGTTTTTTTCCCTTTTCTTAGATTATTATTATATACGGGTACGTAAGAACAAAAGGTGTTGTACTACCTAAAATATTCTTGAAGGGATATGGAACAGAAATAGTGTTGCTGTGCTAGTGTTTGCGGTTGAAAATAAAAAGAAGGAAAGGAGAAGCATGTCCTTTGAGAATATTAGTAAAGTGAGAGAAATACTAAATTGATGAACAAATTTTAATATATATCTCTTATATATAGAGTAAAATCCACTACAAGTCCTATCTAGCACCAAAGTGTTCCACGTCATCAATTAGTTGAATGGTTGCACACTTGCACATCATCTATCTTCTCTTGCTGTGTACTCCCTCCGTCACGGAAAAAGAGTCGTTTTAGACTCCGACTCTTGTCCCACAAAAAGAGTCGTTCTAGGTGGGAGGCCCACCTACCGTACACCTCCGGCCTCGATCAATCTACTCGCAACTTCAACCTTGTCTTTCCGGCGCATGTGAGCTTGTCTTCATCCACGCCGGTGAGACATGGCCGCAACTGCGCCTCCACAACTCGCTCGCCGCCCTCCTAGATCTGGACGAGGCAGAGGCACACCCGAGCGAGGCCCCTCCCCGAGGTCGAGCGCAGCCCCCCAGCATCGAGGCACACCTGGCCGGCGCCGAGGCAAGGCACACCCGTCTTCTTCTCCGCCTGCTCACCCTCCTCTTCTACTCCGTTGGAGCTGCACCCATCCCCACCCCTCTGCGACCGGGATCCGGAGCTGGAGTTGCTGGATCCGGCGTCGAGGCCGAGTTGGCGGCTCGGCCTGGCGCGATGGTGGAGATGGCCGGCATGGACGGCGTGGCGGAAGCGGAGGCCAGCCCATGGTGGAGCGACTGGCCCTGACATGGATTTCTCATCAACCGGCTCCCCCTTGTCTTCTCCTCCGCCAAGATCTGGCGCTCTCCCTCCTCTTCTCCTACACCGGTGGCCCTCTTTGCCTTCTCCGTGTGCCACGCAAGCTCGACAAGAGGGCGTGGCGGTCCACGGTCACCGAAATCTAGATCGAGAAATAGGGGAGGAGCACGAGAGATTGATGTGCGGGGACTGGGTTCTGATGCAAGGGTAGGAAGGTCTTTTCTTGTCGGTCTTGGTGTCTATGTCCGGCTCTCAAACGACGACTATTTTTTTTTGGAACGGAGGGAGTACAGCTCAGTGCACTTCGTTTTAATTCAAGAACAAAAAAAAGTCACCGATATTAATGCCATGGTAGTGGGAGAGGATCTGAGGAGGTAGCAAATTGATAAACGGGGCTTGCATACATCAGATTCATGGCCACATTTTCTACCGAGTAAATTGCACTCACCGTACAACAACTATCCAAGTGGTTGCATGTTAGTTCAATATCTTATAATTTGTCTAATTTAATACAACAATTATATAAGTGGGTGTATGTTAGTCTAACATCTTGTAATCTATTTAATTTGATGAGGCACTTAGCTCATTGGTGCATATACGGTCCAAGCATTGTAAATGTGTGTCTTTGTGCACTCCGAATCACTATCCTTGGAAGCTATACCCTAGAACGCTCTCTCACCCATCACTCAGCTTGAAATGTTTACTATATTATGATACCATTTTTAAATTTGGCCAAATATAAAAACTGCCATTGATTTCATAAACATGGAAAATACCAAACTGGCTAGTTTTCTTTCTATACTATAATATTGTTTTCATCTGTTTTCACCCCTACCCATGGTCGTTTATAGCTCGCTAAAGCTGATAAGTGGGTTGTCCATGGTGGAGGTAGAGCTGCAACTATGTTTGGCTAACCGGAACAGATACG